AATAATGAGAATTTAAAAGCCAAGACACAATACAACTATCAAAAAAGTAGTTATGTTAACTACTAGGGCGTGAGATAGCACCTAGGGATGGTAATGCCAGTTCCATTAATCCCACGCCTCATTCTCATTTAGTACCAGTACCCCTTGGTATAAATAATACTTTTGCACTTCTGTTGTGGCCTACAAACTGAGCAAAGTTTCCTTTAAACAATTCCCTGGAACCTAAGCTTAGGAGAACATTATCAATATCATTATTTTCTAATCCATTGAACTCTCAAAGCTGATGGATACATTGATGGGTAGTTTTTTAGAGTCAGATACTGAGACTGTTACAGACAGCAGGCAGGATAGAGTTTTCTTAATCCTTAGTTTCTTGGACAGGATGAAGGTCCTTTTTACCTCTACAATGGCATTTTCTCTATGATTTCTCAAGATTTTGTGCTTATTTGGAAGTCTTCATTTATTTTTAATTCACTGGGCACTAAATCTGTTTGTCTAAGTTAGAATATTAAGTATAATAATTACTTCCTGCTTATCTTCAGGAATATGGTCGTGGTTCTTGGTTACCTCTTCCCGCTTATCTCTTTTATCAGTACTTCTTTTCATATCCCAAGGAAGTTTGAAGAGAAGGACTAATCCAAATCAATGACTCCCGTGTGTGTGTGTGTGTGTGTGTGTGTGTGTGTGTGTGTATGTGTGTGTGTGAAATCCAGGGCTTGAAACCTGTACCACTGAGCTACAACCCAGCCCTTTTCTTCTACCCAGTCTCACCCCAACTACTCTTTTGGGGATCAAAACCTGTCTTGGGAAAATAAAAAACAGACAGCACAGCTCGAACAGGGGTTTTGTAGCCATATTGATAGCAGTGCTGTCCAGAAACAGATGTATTTAGGAACCCCCACAACTGGGCTTATTCCTCAGCCAGAAAACCACAATCAAGGGCTTAATTTACTATCTGAGCAACCAAAATTTTCAGCACAACAGATGCATGCCTATTTAAAAGCTCATACAGGGACACATTCCAAAGCTGTATAGAGTGATTTTTCCCTTTAAGTCAGTTTCCCTCCAGTACACATAATCAAAATTGTTTCTATTTCTTACAGAAGTTCCTTCATTTTGTTTTGCACAACATTTTTTCCATTAAGGCAGCATTTATCTGAAAATCTGGTGTGCAGTGTTCTAGAACGATCTAAGATTGATAACTCAAAATAAAAGTTCTCTGGCATCACCAAAGTTTATAGAAATGGGAAAAGTTATTTATTTAATTTTAACTGTGTTTTTAAGATCTGTCCTTAACATTGCAAATAGAAAGTGACATTTGACTGGGGAGGTGAAGAAAAATGAAGATTCTCTGAAGCTCCCTTCAGAAAATATGTTTAAAGATTAGGTTAAGTAGTACAGGGAGTTGAATATTTCAAAGTCCTTCACAGTGTTGGCTGTTGGCCACTTTTTCAAATGCAAGCTTAATACCTTGTATTTTTCCAGGAAAATATCTGTATTTAAATTGCTCTATAATTAGTTCCCTAATGAGAAGTTTAGAAAACGGCATATTATTATGTCTTATTGTATTTCAAAATATTAAATGTAAATGAAGAAAATGTTGTATTTAAACTTAATGTGCACACTGTATGTCTTTATTTTATATTATTTAAATGTAGGAGTGCTTCTATTTATTCAGCCACTGACTAAGCTGACTGAAGTGGGCATAAACTTCACATTACTTTTTTTTCATTTTTTTATAATTTATGAATCACCATGCAAGCAGTTACAAGGCTTTTGGGTTTCAGTCTAGGTCATACAATGAAACACCCATAACTTCACCAGTGCCCATTCTCTGCCACCAAAAACCCAAGTATACCCCCATCCCACACCCTCCCCCTACCTGTTGGGCAGATGATTTCCACATTACTCTCTCTCAATTTTGATTACATTCAACATGTTGACACCAGACCAACCATAATATTTGGGATTTTACCCCAACACTTAGATCTACTGAAAAGGCAAGAGTAGACAATTAGTTTTGAATTATGGTTATGAATAACATGATGTCACGAGGCTGCAGTAGTGGCCACGCAATTTTGAAATTCAAAATTTTATCAATTAAATCTGGAGGGATTTCTACCAAAACCTGCTGGGTTCCGAGATTTGCTCCTGAGTCTCTGGGATCATGGCCATTAAGCAGCTTGATTGGAAGCCAGAGAGGCCATTCGTGGGTTGCGACTTGGGGTCTTGTTGGGACGGGGAGGAAAGGGCCGGCTGTACCCCCATCCCATTAGGCCCTGCGTGTCTCGTCACTGCGGGCCCAAACCTGACTGTCCAATGGCCTCTGGAGGATGGCAGCCACCGAACTGCCAAAGGGGAGCTGGCGGAGGGACAGCACCCTTTTCCCCCTGGAGTGGCCCGGCAACAGTAACCTACTGTGGGGTCCAGATGTATTTCTGCCAAAAGCCACTGGGTTTCGAGATTTGTTCCTGAGTCTCTTGGATCATGGCCGTTAAGCAGCTTGATCAGGAGCCAGAGAGGCAGTTCGTGGGAGGTGACTTTGGGTCTTGTTGGGACTGGGAGGAAATGGCCGGCTCCACCCTCATCCTGTAAGGCCCCATGTGTCACGCACTGTGGGCCCAAACCTGACTGTCCAGTGGCCTCTGGAGGGTGGCGGCCACCGGGCTGCCAGTGGGAACAGGCCAAGGCACGAAACCTATCCCCACCTGGGATTGCCCATTACCGGTAACCTACTGCAGGAACTGGATGCATTTATCCCAAAAGCTGCTGGGTTCCGAGATTTGCTCCTGAGTCTCTGGGATCATGGCTATTAAGCAGATTAATCAGGAGCCAGAGAGACCGTTTGTGGGCGGCGACTCAGGGTCTCGTTGGGACAGGGAGGAAAGGGCCGGCTCCACCCCATCCCGTTAGGCCCCGTGTGTGTTGTCACTGTGAGCCCAAACCTCACTGCCCAATGGCCTCTGGAAGATGGTGGCTACCAGGCCTCCAAGGGGGAGCAGGAAGAGGGGCAGCACCCTTTCCCCCTGGGGTGGCCCTGCACCAGTAACCTACTGCAGGGACCGGATGCATTTCTGCCAAAAGCCATTGGGTTTCGAGATTTGTTTCTGAGTCCCTGGGATCATGGCCATTAAGCAGTCTGATCAGTAACCAGAGAGGCCATGCCTCAAATTATATAGCTGGGCCAGAGGTGGTTTTTGGGTGTGTCTCCCACATACCTAACTTTTGGCCATTTACTTTCTTGGTAAACTTTGCCCCAAGTTTTTGGGGTCTGGCCAAAGGCACAGCAGCAATTTTGGGCTATCTGGAAGTCTGAAGGCACCATCAGGCTGCTGATGCACTCGCCTCACAGGTACAGATTGACCTGCTGACAGCACCATATCCCCAAAGTCACATTACTTTTTAAAAAAAAAATTATATTAAATATCCGTGATAGACAGTTACAAAGCTGTTCATGATTGTGGTTCAGTAATACAATGATTAAGAACCCATCCCTCCACCAGTGTACATTTCCCACCACCAATATCCCGTTTCCCTCTCAACGTCCCCCAACACCCCACCTTCTACCCCTTTTCTTTCTTTTCTTCTTTATTTCTCTCTCCTTTTCCTTTTGTGTACTATAGTTTGCAATACAGGTACTAAGAGGCCATCATGTTTGTTCATGTCATTCAATAATTTTATCAGGAAGGTACGGCTGGAGTAGATTTTTAACTGGGTGACAGATTTGGGGTGTCGATGTCATTGCCAAGGCTTCCAGAAGTACAGAGAGGTGGGGGGAGGTAGCCCATCCTGACCCCCGAGAAAGCCTGGGGATTTCACTCCACAAAATCCATATACCCAAATTTTCAGCAGATTATATCTCTGTGAGGTTCATCCTGTGAGGGTATAGTCTGGCTGGGATCATGGCAGTGATTTTGTATTGCAGATGCAAGCAGATGCTGGGGTCTCTGCTTGGATAGACACCAGGCTGACCTGCCAGTTGCCCTCCCCCCACTTCAGTTTACCTTTATCTGTTCAGCCTTTTGTGTGTCCAAGATTAACTGCAGCTTTTCATCTCTTTTGAGATTTATTTATGGATCTCTGAAGCAAGGCCAGGAGAAGAGCTTATATGGTAGGGCTGGAGATGGTTTGTGAGGGTGACTGCCAGTTCTTCCAAGAGTATAAGGAAGTGAGGGGAATTAGTCAGTCCCAACCCCGAGAAAGCCTGGAGCTTTCAGTCACAAAACCTGCATATTCAAATTTTCAACAGGTTAATATCTCAGTGAGGTCAGTCCTGAGATGATGGAGTTTTGCTGGGGAGCATGGTGCTGATTTTAAATTGTGGGAGCAAGCATTTGCCGGGGGTCCAGCTTGGGCAGGCACCAGGCTAACTCATCCCCTTCTGTTTACCCTGGTATGTTCAGCCTTTCGCAGGTTCTAGATTAACTGTGGCTTTTGATCTCTTTCGAGATTTATTTATGGGTCTCTGGAGCATGGCCAATAAATGAGCTTCTGTAGCTGAACTGGAAGTAGTGTGTGGTCCTGGCTCCCATATACCTAACTTTTGGCTATTTAATTTCTCGGGAAACTTGATCCCAAGTTGTTGGGGTCCAGCCAGAGGTACAGCAGCAATTTTTGGATATCAAGAAGCCAGAAAGCACCATCAGGCTACTGATGCACTCGTCACACACGTACAGGTTGACCTGCTGGCAGCTCCACAAACCCCACACACACTGTATTTCTTGACAAGTGAAAGGTAAAATTTGAAACAAAATAAAGAACATTAATTAGGGTCTCTTCTTTGGATGAAGTGATATTTATGAATACATGAAGATTACAGAAATGAACAAATACTGCTTGTTATTTTAATTTATTTTTTCTTTTAAATATATAAGTAATATGTTGAATAAATGGTATTTAACGATAATGCACCAAATTGAAAGTAAAAACTACTTTGTTACAATAGAATCACAGGAAAAATGACAGGCCAGTTTTTAAATATTCATTGTCTTCAATTACAGGTTGCAAATCAGAACTCATTTCAGGACATCATAGAGCATGACATCTGTAAGGCAGATTTTTTAAAAGATGTCTGGGGCAGCAAACATCACATCATTAAACCTAGCATGCACGACATCAATCGGGACATTTTCGGATATTGGAGAGAGAACAGCTCTTCTGATGAAGAGATAGTGTTAAAGGAGGTGGTAAAAGAACTTCCAAAAGTCCGGTCTGAAGATCAGATAAGTAGCAACTCATTGGAAACAACAGTGACCACACCACAGACGGGCAAGAAAACACGATGGTTCCTTAGAAAATCTGGCCACCCCAATTCCAACATTATTGGAAAAGAGTCAACACCGTTATCAGTCCCATGGAAAGACTCGCAGGAAGAACAAACAATCAAAGTTTTTTCTGCAGCTGATTTGGATACCTCGACTGACCGTGACTTTTCCATTTGGAAAAGATCACAACAAAATGTAAGTTAGAAATGTGATCATCAGTGATTCAGTTTCTATAGAAACATAGAGTTGCACATACTTGGTTCAAGTCAAGTAGACTGGGTGAGAAGAGGAGGGTAAAAAAACTTGGATCCAAACTGTGTCTCTCAAACTTGATGATATTTACACCAAAAGTGAAGCCAGTATACTCATTTGAATGAAAACAGATCATTAAAATAATTATAGGTTAATTAGAGGGTCAAGAACATTAGAAAATCTACACCAGTTAGGAGACATGCAGGTTAATTATTTTAAATGATACATTTTATCCTTCCCCCCACTCTTCGGATAAATACACATGTTGCACAAAAATTTGGGTGTTTCCTTTGAAGATCACACCCAGCAAGGTTACTCCTGACTCTATTCAGGCAGTACTTGGGGACCATGTGGGATGCCAGAGATCAAATCCAGGTCAGTCACATGCAAGGCAAGCTCCCTACTTGCTGTACTGTATCTACAGCCCCAAGTGCATAAAGTTTTTTGGTTTTTGTTGGAGTTTTTGCACAAAGTTTTGTACATAGAAACCACATACCAGTTGGCAAGACCAGAAGCTGGGTTGGAAGAGAGAAAAATCTTTGCAAACTCAGACTATTTGTATTTCTAATCTGGCACTTAGTAGTCATGTGACCTTTGGAAAAATTAAATTAATTAAATTAAAGGCCCTCCCGTTGTTCGTCGATTTGCTCGAGCGGGTCCAGTAACGTCTCCATTGGAGACTTTGTTGTTACTGTGTTTGGCATATCGAATACATCACGGGGAGCTTGCCAGGCTCTGCTGTGTGGGCGAGATACTCTCGGTAGCTTGCCAGGCTCTCCGAGAGGGGCAGAGGAATCGAACTCAGGTCGGCCATGTTGGCTGCGTGCAAGGCAAATGCCCTACCGCTGTGCTACCGCTCCACTTTTGGAAAAATAATCTAACCAAATCTTTATAGGGGGGCACCGGCGGGGAGGGGAATCCCCATATCAAACTGTGCTCATAGAACATTTTTGGCGGAGCTAAGGGCACCAGGTGCCAGGTATTGTACCCAGACCTCCAGTATGCAAAACATGAGCACTCAGCCTTTGAACCATCTTCAATTAAGCAACTTAAAAATTGCTGAGCTTGTTGAAAGCTATCAAGTTTGTCAAAATATATTGGATATTCATCTTGAAGTCAGTCTTTGTACCCTACTATTTCTTCTTCCTGATTCTGCATATTACTGATGATCTGGATCCCACTGACTATTTAGGTTGATTTCCACCCCACACACATCCAGATTTGTTCCACTCTATGTTTTTTACAACTCTGGTCAGTTCATGGACTCACCAGGTAGGCCTTTTTTTATTGGGAAGCCACTTGAGATAGTTTGCGACCAAATACAATGTGCCTGGTCAGAAATGCTAGTACAGAAATAACGTACGAAATGTTTCAGTCAATGGTACTTGATTTATTACAAACTTTTCCTTGTGTAATATCTGCCTTATACTTTTTTGCAGGATAAGTTCATGAAATCTAATACTGGAAGAACTTATTGGGTAGGACATAGAAGGGCGAAACTGTCCTCCTCCCAAGAAAAGGATCTGCCTTCATTTCCTAGGTAGGACCAATTGAGATAATACACCTGGACTAAGAATATAGAAATTTTATTTTTTAATGTGAGGGGAGGGGCCACACCCAGCATTGCTCAATTGCTCAAGGATTACTCCTGGCTCTGTGCTGAGGTATCACTGTTGGAACACTTTGAAGGATCATGTGTGGACTCAAACTCAGATCAACCTAGTGCAAAACAAGTGTTTGACGTACTGTATGGGCAAAACTCTAGCCCCAGAAAATAGAAATTTTAAGTGAAATTATATTGGTGGGAAGAATAGCTCCCTCAGGAAACTAGTATTTAGCTCCTTGAGAGCCCTTCAGTCTCCTGGCCTCCAGCTTCCCTCCGGTTATTTCCTGTACTGCTCCTTCCCATCTTCTTTCCCATTTCTCTACTTTCTCCTTGGACCTGTTTTCTAGTTAGTATAGTTAGATTAAATCTTTAATGTATTAGATTTTTGAGTTGGCAGAAAGGTCCTGAGTCAGCAGTGGTCCCTGCACTGATGCACAACCTAAAAGAGTTTCCCTCCTTAGCTCCCTTAAGTATATAAATTCTCAGCACTGTGTGGCCCTGAATGTCAGGGCTGGGCATGTAAATTGGGGGATTCAGGGAAGAATTCTCAAAAGCACAACAGAGTTGCTTTAAGTTGGACTTTTAGTTGGACTTTAGAGCACAAGATTTAGATAAGACCATTCAATGCTTGTATATCTTTGTAGCTGCAATGCTCCCTCGAGTTGCACCACCCTTTAGTTGTGGTGCTCACACATACCTAACTGTAATGCAGTCGAAAATCAGAGTGCCAGGGATGTCAGACAGCAGAACTGTGAGCATCATGATGTATATATGACCACAGGAATTGAAATCACAGCTTCATAATTGATAGGCAGGTGCTTTAGCCACTAAGCCATCTACTTCTAATCGAAGATTTTGGTTTTTAATTGATGCCATTTTAGAGCATCTATTTCCGTTGTGCTATCAACCTGTCTCCCTTCACAGTTGTTTTATCGTACAAAATTAGTAATTCAGCGATAGCACAGCAGTAGGGCGTTTGCCTTGCACGCAGCCAACGTGGCCGACCTGAGTTCGATTCCTCCGCCCCTCTCGGAGAGCCCAGCAAGCTACCGAGAGTATCTCGCCTGCACGGCAGAGCCTGGCAAGCTCCCCGTGATGTATTCGATATGCCAAACACAGTAACAACAAAGTCTCCAATGGAGACGTTACTGGACCCGCTCGAGCAAATCGATGATCAACGGGAGGGCCTTTACTTTACTTTACTTTACTTTTGAAAATATCATGTCAGGAGCTGGAATGATATTACTTTTAAGCAGATAGAGTTGTTTACCTTGCACATGTCTCACCCTGATTTGATCCACGCCCCCCCACTTAGTCCCCCAAGCACCACCAGCAGTGACCCTTGAGTACCACCAGGTATGACCCAAAAAAAAAAAACCCAAAACTAATTTGCTTCTGAAAGTGGCACATTTCAAACCAAATAAAAGCCAAAACACAAATATAAAAATTTAAATTTTATGTGAAAACTCAGACATAGCATTCCAGGATCCCTTGAATATAAATGATAACGTTAACTTTTTTTACTTTTTCCCCTTTATATTAAATATGTGGAAAATTAATTGTTTTTTTTTATCATTTTTTTAGGGACGGTGATAATCAACCTTCAGATACCACTGCCAAAAAAACAGGTTGGATTAAGTTTTTTCTTAATTTAAATTAGATAGTATTAAAAGGATACTATATGGGTGAACTTTTCTGTTGCCAAAACTGAAAGCTAATACTGAATTTTTCAGTAGTCTGATCTATTTTGGGTGGTTGTGTATAGGGTAAACTAGTTAGCATGAGTCAACTTACTTGCCTTTTCTGAATCACTGTGAAGATTTCATTAATAATTTTGTATGTATGTAGTGTGGTGTTATGAATTCATAATTATCAGGTGAGAAAAATCCAGGGGATTGGGTTTTTTGCTTCTAAGTATGGATCAGACACCATGGGCACTGGTGGAGGTAAGGAAGGGTACTCGATCATTGTATGATGGAAACCCAAGCACGGAAATTTGTAAGTCTACAACTGTACCTGATGGTGTTTGACTAATTAAAGAAAAACTTAAAAAAAGAAATTAAAAAGTTTTTTTTAATTAGTGAAACACCATGAAGTACAGTTGTAGACTTCCAAACTTTCGTGCTTGGGTTTAAGTTATACAATGATCAAGTACCCATCCCTCCACCGATGCCCATTCTACACCACCAATGATCCCAGTAGCCCTCCCACCCCCCACCCCACCCAACCTCTGTGGAAGGGTACTCCCTTTTGCTCACTTTTACCTTTAGGGTGCTGTAATTTGTAATAGAGGTATTGAGTGGCCATCATGTTCAGTTTATAGTCTACTTAGAGCACGCATCTAGGATCCTGAGCGAGTCCTCCAAAATCCTTTACTTGGTGTTCCCTTCTCTATCTAAGCTGCCTTTCTCCCCAGCATGTGCTGCCGGCTTCCAAGCTGTGGAGCACACCTCCTGGTACTTATCTCAACTATTCCTGGGTATTCAACTCCCATTTTGTTACTTTAAATTCCCCAGATGAGAGCAGTCTTTCTATTTCTGTCCCACTCTTTCTGGCTCAATTCACTTAGCATGATATTTTCCATGTAGAACCACTTGTATGTAAATTTCATGACTTCATATTTTCTAACAGCTGCATAGTATTTCATTGTGTAGATGTACCAAAGTTTCTTTAACCAGTCATCTGTTCTCGGGCACTCAGGTTTTTTCTCAATTTTCGCTATTGTGAGCAGTGCAGCAATGAACATAGAAGTACAGATGTTGTTTCGACTACTTTTTTTCCTCTCCAGGATATATTCCCAGGAGTGGTATTGCTGGGTCAAATAGGAGCTCAATTTTTAATTTTTTGAGAATCGTCCATACTGTTTTCCAAAAGTGCTGAACCAGTAGGCATTCCTACCAGCAGTGAAGGAGGGTCCATTTCTCGCCACATCCTCACCAACACTAGTTGCTTTTGTTCTTTTGGATGTGGGCCAGTCTCTGTGGTGTGAGATGATTTCTCATTGTTGTTTTGATCTGCATCTACCTGATAATTAGTGATGTAGGGCATTTTCTCATATGCCTTTTAGCCATTCAGATTTCTTCTTTGAGAAAGTTTCTGTTCATTTCGTTGCCATATTTTTTATGGGGTTGGATGTTTTCTTCTTGTGGAGTTCAACCAGTACTTTGTATATCCTTGATATCAACCCCTTGTAGGATGTGTATTTGGCGAATATACTTTCCCATTCTGTAGACTGTCTTTGTATTTTGGTTACTGTTTCTTTTAAGGTGCAGAAGCTTCTTAGTTTAAGATAGTCCCATTTGTCTATCTCTATTTTCACTTGCTTGGCCAGTGGCATGTCATCTTTGAAGATACCGTTAGCTTCAATGTCGTGGAGGGTTTTGCCAACCTTGTCTTCATTGTACCTTGTGGATTCCGGTCTGATGTTGAGGTCTTTAATCCATTTTGATCTTACTTTTGTGGTGTTAGGCAGAGATCTGAGCCCATTTTTTGCATGGATCTGTCCAATTTTGCAAGCACAATTTGTTAGAGCTTTTCCTTGCTCCACTTCACATTTCTTGCTCCCTTATGAAAGATTAGGTGATCATATGTTTGGGGGGGGGGGGATGTCAGTATATTCAACCCTGTACGATTGGTCTACAGCTCTGCCTTTGTTCTAGTACCATGCTGTTTACTGCTTTGTAGTAGAGTTTGAAGTTAGGGAGGTTGATTCCTCCCATTTTCTTTTTCCCAAGAATTGCTTTAGCTATTCGTGAGGGCTTATTGTTCCATATGAATTTCAGGAGTGTTCGCTCCAATTCTTTGAAGAATGTCATGGGTATTGTAATAGGGATCGCATTGAATTTGTACAGTGCTTTGGAGATTATTGCCATTTTGACAGTGTTAATTCTCCTGATCCATGAGCAGGTGATGTCTTTCCGTTTCCTCATGTCCTTTTATTTCCTGAAATATCATTTTTTAGTTTTCTTTGTACAGGTTTTTTACGTCCTTAGTTAAGCTGATTCCTAGGTACTTGATTTTCTGTGGAACAATTGTGAACAGGATTGTTTTTTTCATGTCAATTTCTTCTCTCTCATTATTTGCATATAGGAAAGCCATGGACTTTTGGGTATTGATTTTATAGCCTGCAACTTTACTATACGAGTCTATTGTTTCTAGGAGTTTCTTGGTAGAGGTTATAGGGTTCTCTAAATATAGTATCATATCATCTGTGAATAGTTAGAGCTTGATTTCTTCCTTTCCTACCTGAATGCTCTTAATATCTTTTTCTTGCCTAACCATTATTGCAAGTACTTATAGTACTATAATGAACAGCAGTGAACAGAGTGGGCATTCTTGTCTCGTCCCTGATCTTAGAGGGAAGGCTCTCAGTTTTTTCCCATTGAGGATGATACTTGCCATAGGCTTGTGGTAGATAGCTTTAAGTATATTGAGGAAAGTCCGTTCTATACCCATTTTGGCGAGGGTTTTCAGCATAAATGGGTGCTGGATCTTGTCAAATGCTTTCTCTGCATACATTGATATGATTATATGGTTTTTATCTTTTCTTTTGTTGTTATTATGGATTATGTTGATTGATTTCCGAATGTTAAACCATTTTTGCATCCCTGGGATGAATCCCACTTGGTCATGGTGTATGATCTTTTTGATGAGTTGTTGAATTCTATTTGCTAGTGTTTTGTTGGGCTGGAGCGATAGCACAGCAGGTAGGGCATTTGCCTTGCATGCAGCCAACATGGCCAACCCGAGTTCGATTCCTCCACCCCTCTCAGAGAGCCTGGCCAGCTACCAAGAGTATCTCGCCCTCATGGCAAATCCTGGCAAGCTACTCATGACATATTTGGTATGCCAAACACAGTAAAAACAAAGTCTCAATGGAAACGTTACTGGGCCCGCTCGAGAAAATTGATGAACAATGGGAGGACAGTGACAGTAACCGTATTTTGTTAAGAATCTTCACATCTATGTTCATCGGGGATATCAGCCTGTAGTTTTCTTTTCTTGTGGTGTCTTTGTTTCATTTTGCTATTAGAGAGATATGGGCTTCATAGAATCTGTTTGGGATAGTTTCCTTTTCTTCAGTTTACTGGAAAACTTTGGAAGAACTGTCTACAGGTCCTCTTTAAATGTTTGGAAAAATTCGCTAGTAAATCCATCTGGACCTGAGCTTTTGTTTTTGGGAAGACTTTTGATTACAGTTTTAATTTCCTTGATATTAATAGGACTATTCAGGTATTCTAGATCTTCTTGATTCAGCCTTGGTAGATTATAGGAACCCAGGAATTTGTCCATTACTTCTAGGTTTTATTGTTTTGTGGCATACAGACTTTCAAAGTAGTCTCTGATGAAGTTTTGGATTACTTTGGTTTCTGTTGTGATATCACCCTCCTCATTTCTGATTCAGTTTATTAAGGTTCTCTCTCTTTCTTTGTGAGTCTTGCTAGTGGTTTATCTATCTTGTTTATTTTCTCGAAGAACCCGCACTTGGTTTCATTGATCTTTCAGATTGTTTCTTGGGTTGCCATGTCATTGATTTCTGCTTTAAGTTTTATGATCTCTTTTCCTCTGCCTGATTTGGGCTCCTTTTCTTGGTCCTTTTATAAGATTGTGAGCTGTGAAGTCAAATTGTTCATGTGGGCCCTTTCTTCCTTCCTGAAAAATTCTTGGAGAGCTATAAATATTCTCCTTAACACGGCTTTAGCTGCGTCCCATAGGTTCTGGTAGCTCGTGTCTTCATTCTCATTTGTTTCCAGATATCTTTTGATTTCTTCCTTGATTTCTTTCCTGATGTACTTGTTGTTCAACATTGAGTTGTTTAATTTCCAGGTGTTTGATTTGGTTTTCTGTATCTGTACATGATTAACTTCTATCTTCAGTGAATAGTGGTCTGAGAAGATAGTTGATATAATGTCTATCTTCCTGATTCTGTTGAAGTATGCTTTGTGGCCCAGCACATGGTCTATTCTGGAAAATGTTCCATGTGCACTGGAAAAGAATGTGTGTTCTTTTTTTTGGGGGGGGATATAAAGTCCTGTATATATCTCTTAGCCCTCTGTAACCCTAGTAAAGTTTAGTTTTAAAGTTTTGAATGCTAAATAGGAAACTTAAATAATTTATTTTTATTAACATATGATGAGGCTAGATTCTGCATTTTTTTGTCTTTGTTAAAAATGACTAAAGTATTTTCACATTGAGTTTTTGGTTCTCAATTCAATTCTCTGAACCCTTAAAAGATCAACAGTTGTTAGTACAGCATCATCTTTACTATTAAAATGACCTTGAAACTCAAACCTTAGAACTAGAGCTGACCTTTCTATGAAATGGGTTATTTCCCATTCAAAAGGTTGCTCGAGGAAACTATCCATTCAAGCTTTGGTATAAATACACAATGGAATATTAGACAGCCACAGAGCAAGTGAAATGCTGCAGCTTCCTGCAACTTGGATGGAACTGAAGGGTATCATGTTGAGCAAAATAAGCCAGAGGGAGAAGGACAAGTACTCGATGAACTAGTCATCTATGTTATATAGAGAAGAAAAACCAAAACAATATCCATTGATAATAAACCCTGGATACTGGATTACAGATGTGAGAATAGCAGACTGGAGGAGAGGGGTGGAGATCAAGGATGATGTGGGCCAGAATTGATATAATGTCATTGGTGGTGGGTCTTGGGCCCTGTAGTGGCAGAAAGGTGGGGTAACTGGATGTACCAAATCCATAATTATCAGTCAACTGATAATTATGGGAGCAATAAGAAGAAATGAAGATTGGACCAGAAGTGATATAAGGACTGGGGTTGAAAAAATATTAGAGGGGAAGGAGCTTGTTTTGCATACAGCTGACTTGATTTCAATCCCTGGCACTCCATATGGTCTTCCAAGACCACTAGGAGTGATCCTTGAGCACAGAGCTAGGAGTAAGCCCTGGGCACAGCCAGGTGTGACCCAAAAGCAAAAAAAAAAAAAGAAATGATATAAGGACAGTGGTGGAAGGTTATGGGCACTTTGGTGATGATGGTATGCGGAATCTTTGTACATCAGCATTATAAATTTAAACATTATTATAGCCATATTTTGTAACTTTAATTTAAAGTATGGTTTTAAAATATCATTTTCACTTAGGCACGGAAATAACATTCACTGTGAAATAAGCCATAGAATAGCTGTAAATTTGCCAGAATTCAATGCACAGGTCTTAGTTGGAAATGCCCATCATAGGAATGCTTCCTGCTTTATGACTGGTAGAGCCAGGAAAAATCATCAGGAATAACTTCCTTCTGGAATAATGAGGGAATGGAAAGTGTCCAAGGTCATACAGTGAGATATAGCATAGATGAGTTAACCAATAGGACTTCCTAAGGTTGTAATCTTTTTAATGTATATTTACTCAAAGGGTAATCAAGATAGAGTCCACTCATCCTGATCCTTTATGATGACTTACGTATATAATACTTATCAAAGCCATACACATGATTTCTGGGCCTCATATGAGAAGGGACACTCCTATTTTACACATGAGGCTTAAAGAGTCCAAGATGTGAACAGTAACTTAACAATTTTTATTGAGCTCTAAATCATGAAGCAAAGACTTACAGGAATTCTAATTCAAAACAAGTCCAGTGCTCTTTTTATTACTAGCTGCCTCCTTAGCTGTGAGTCCTTTTAGCCTCTTTGGGCTAAATTTTAATCACAGATGTCACGTGAAACTCAGCATAGTGGTTCAGCACTCACCTGATTTTCGCAGGAAGTAGCTATTTCTTAAGACCAGTACCTTAGTTTCTAGGTTTCCTTTGACAGTCTCATAGCATTTTTTTCCTTTTCTTTCTTTCTTTCTTTCTTTCTTTCTTTCTTTCTTTCTTTCTTTTTTGGCCTTTTGGACCATTGCAATGCTCAGGCCTTACTCCTGGCTCTGCACTCTGGGGATCATATAGTATGCTCAGAATTAAACCTGGGTTGGCCGCGTGCAAGGCAAACACCCTCCCCACTGTACTATCACTCCAACGCCTCCTTGCATTTTTAAAAATTATCTCCAACCAGAGTAGTAATGGGTCCTTAGAAATCACCCTTAGCCTAAACTCTCACTTTACAGACCCACAGCAAAGAAGCCCAAGAATCTGAGTGGTTGGTTGTGCATGGATGCTGATTGCAGATCAGATCTAGATCCCCTCTAGACCATCTAGCCAATGGTCCTCTCACATCACAGTACATCTCCTCAGTTTCAGAATGAAAAAAAAAATTTGAGAGCTGTGCCTAAAGTTCTTGGATCTCACCACTTTCAGCTTTTTTTTCTTTTCAAGATTCTTTAATTAAATGATTAAGATTGTTTTCGTGTCAAACTCTGTTTCAGAATTAATGGTTTTCCAATATTGTGTTTTGTTTACAGATGACCTTGAAGATCCAGATATGGAGGATCCATGTAAAAAACAGGTGAATATTTTTCACTAGCCTCTCGTTGAGAAGGGAGTGATCCCCAATCAAAATGTCCCAATTGTCATGGAAAAAAAGGGTAGCAGGAAGGACTTCCTTGTTCACACCTTCCCACACCAAAATTTCTCCCAGCTGGGCGGAAGGGGGGGTGCTGAAAATGCCTTTACTCAAACCCTCATTTTTGAAGTCATTGTTCTTGTGTAAGCACAGAGGAAGCCAGAGTGCCCCTTAGCACCTAGGGACAAGTAGTTCCATTAGTTCCATTCATATCCACTCCGTCCTGTAGCCTCTGAACTATAGAGACCCACAGTGCACTCGTAAGCAGGTGCAAACATGTGACTTGGGGATAAGAACTAAGAGAAAACAGATGTTTTTGTTTTGTGGGGCTACACCCAGCAGTGCTCAGGGATTACTCCTGACTCTGCACTCAGGAATCACTCCTGGCCATGTTCAGAGGACCATATAGGATACCAGGGATTGAACCCGGGTCAGCCACATGCAAGGCAAGCGCCCTGCATGCCTGCTACTCTCTGGCCCCATGTGAACAGGTGCTTTGAAGAGGCAGTGGTTCTTCCAGGATCAGAGTTCTGAGTCCAACTACTTCTCAATGTCCCTGGAGACTATCCCTGTATAGGCAGCCCCAATCTCACTGTGACCCCAGAAACCCTTCTCAATTAAGCCTCCTTTGGGAGTCTCCCGTGCATCTGCACCTTCAGGCAGTCTGTTTTGTGTCACCTTTGCTTCCCACTGCAATCACATCCTTGCACAACCAACCACTCAGATTCTTGAGCCTCTTTGCTGCGGGTCTGTAAAGTGAGAGTTTAGGCTAAGGGTGATTTATAAGGACCCATTACTACTCTGAGGTTCCTTCAACCCCCTCTCAGCTAGCTTGTACACACATACACAAGTATGCGCATGCACACACATGAAAGCTAATGCTCTCCCCAGTTTATCCCTCTTCATTTACTTCATAGCACTCAAGTCACCAGTCAGCCATTCATGCAATGGTTATTGATCAGGTGCCCACTCTGCCAAGCACAGGCGATGACAACAGTAAACAAAATAGACAAATGCACTGCTGGGTATAGCCCCACAAAACAAAAACATCTGTTTTCTCTTAGTTCTTATCCCCAAGTCACATGTTTGCACCTGCTTGCGAGTGCACTGTGGCTCTCTATAGTTCAGAGGCTACAGGACGGAGTGGATGTGAATGGAACTAGTAGAACTACTTGTCCCTAGGTGCTAAGGGGCACTCTGGCTTCCTCTGTGCTTACACAAGAACAACTAAGTACTCAAATATAAGCCTCAGAAAAACAAAAACTTTGTCTTGTTCGTCACCTTAAGTTTTTGCCTAGCATCTAATAGGATGGAAATATGGTTGATGGCCAATAAATGCCTGTAGAAAGAACAGCCCTTGCTGTCTGAACCAGACTTTGTCTACGTGTGAGGAGTACTCTAACTCCCGTCTCTGAGATCCTGCTGTTCAGCCATATATGGAGACTGCTACAAGAGAGCAGAGGTTCTTCACCCTGACTGCCCCTCAGAATCATCTGATAGACTTTTCAAGCTACTGGCATTGAGTCTGGCCCCTCCCAGAGATTTTGATACAACTGCTTGGATTGTTCTTTAGACAGCCTTGAGGCTGTCTAAAGGATGCCCAAGTGGTTTTAATGTTTAGCCCACAGTGAGAATCACTGACTTAATATACTCAGAAGACACTTGTCACATCTTCCCCTCCTTTCTTTAGATGAGGGATTCTCATCCTGACTGTACATTAAACTGTTTCTCTCAATCTTTCTCCAACCATGGTCTCCTTCTGACATTGTTTTCTTTCTGTGTGCATTCTCCTCCTGTCCTGTCGGTTGCCCACCCTTCCCCCCAGTCTTGTTCCATAGCCTCTCACTGACACAATTTTTCACTTGTCACTCACCTCTATAATATGTTGGCAGATCCATAGAAGGCCATATGGCTGCTGGTTGACAAATACTTTGTTAGAGCTACCTGGTGGAATTTAGGAAACATGCTAGTATTTTTCCCATCTTGGGTAATCCTGTGAAACAGGGGAAAGAAACCAAGCATGTCTTTTAAAAATGTGTCTAGATAAAAATATATAATAGATGATTCTACTGTGCTTCCAGGGTAAAGAACCAGTGTTTTACACTGGTCTTGTCCCCATTTATCCCCTTAGCTATTCTACTTCTCAGTGTCAATCTGTAAGTGGTCTCAAATACTCTTGGAAGAGCTAGAGTGAAACTATTATTGAAAAACTCTGCCCTGGTTGACAAAGGGGCTCTCTCACTTCTCCCCCACTTGTAGTAGACACCAGCAGGGTCTCTCCCACATCCCCTCCTCTCCTGAATGCCAGCAGAGGACCCCAAGAGGGGACCTCTGCTTGGAGGACATGAGGGGGCTCTCCTTACCCCCACCCCTCCTGGATTCCAATATGGGACCCCAGGTGAGACACCTACCTGGGTGCCACGATTATAGATATAGATATTATATGGTTTGCTCTCCCATACCTACCCACCTCGTGGACAATGTGTCACTATGTAATTCACTTCTATTATCCATGCACTGAGGCCTTACTTCATTGATCTTACATTTCCTGTATCACCCAGTACCACCAGCACTACCTCCCACAGCAATTTTACGTCCTCTTGCAGGATGCTGCTTCTGCATTTTAGGCAATGCTAGGGGTCAACTAAGTGAATACTAGATTTGAAGTGCTGCCATCTCCTTACTCCTGTGGCCCCATGCATGTACCTGTAGAGTTCATTGTGCAACCAATGGTAGATACTCAAGGTAGCATTTCTCCTTTGTTTTAGGAGGCAGCCAATTTTTCTCAACATGAAGACAATCGGACCCATGTGCATGCTTCACAAGATAACATCTCAGGTACATTTCATAATGTAACTCTCAGTGTCATTTTAAATATTTGGGTTTTTGTGGCCATCCTTCTGCAGTAAATGATCCCTGCCTTTTAGTATCACTACCCCTACCAATATGAAGCTGAAGTGTAATGTAACTTCCAATGGACATAGGTTGCTATTTGCAGGTTATTTTGCAGTTCTAACTTGAACTTCACAGCAAAGGTGTTTCTAACTTGTTATATACCAGACATTCTGCTAAATGATTTTCTTATATCCACCCTGGGAAGAAGAATCTCTAGTTTGCTGATGAGGACACAGTATCCCCAATATCTGAAGATAATCTTGACACAAGAAAAGCAAGTTCCAAGGCCATGAGGCCAGGGTGGAGTTTGCACGTTAGGGGACATGTAAAGTGAAGGAGCTTACCATAGTGCGCACCCCCAGCAGAGGTTAGAAACCAGGGCCTCATACATGTGTGGTATGGACTTTTTCTTTGAGTCATATCCCTAGCCCCCTCTGTGCAAGATTTTTGTATTTGTGAAACCAACTTCATATATTTTTTAATTTTTCAATTTTATTTTCATAAAGTTGTTCACAAAATTAATTACGTTCATTATCTCTACACCAACCCACCACCATTATACCTTCCCACAGCCATTATTTTGAATTTTTCCACTACCATCCAAGCCTGCCCCACAGGCAGATGCTAAATAATTTATTTCGTATTGCTTGTTATAAATATTATGAAATGTTTTGCGTCTACAAGAGCAGCCGCCCATGCAAGTCTCGAAGTTGTGTTTTGCCAAACCAAAAAATAGAGGCAAATGGCCTGCCTAAGTGACAGAGCCAGGACTCAAACCTCACATGTCTTATACCTTCTACCACACATTCTTCATTCCTGTAACCCAGGAGCTACATCTAGTTGCTGCTGTATGTCAGAGTTGGGAAATGACTAGGGACAGCCCAGTGAGATTTCAGGGGCAAGTGGAAAGAGTCCTGCCTACGTTTCCCATTGTATTTCCCACTCGTTAGAATAACCATTTCCCACTGCATTTCCAACCCATTAGTATAACCTTATCCTCTTGTAATTTGACAGGAACACCACCTGAATCCTGCAACTGCATGCTACAAGGACTCACTGATCATCACAATAAACCAAAATAACCCCTTTCCCTTGGAAAATACTTTTTTTGGGGGGTGAAGAGGGTGTCCCAGGGGTTAAAACCAGGCCTCATGAATGCAAGACCTGTATATTACCATGAAGCCAAATCCACGGCCCTGAAAAGAGGACTTTTGGAGGAAGTGGCCAACCTTATTTTGAGATGCTCAAAACAATTACAGCCCACAGAAAATGGATTTGAAGTTATTAAAGAATCTTAGCTGTTTTTAAAAGCCCCTAAGGAAAAGAGACAAATTCTGGGATTATGCCATGACGGTGTATTTTTCACAAATAAATTTATACTTTCAGTTCTAATAGAATGCCATGTGTGATATGATATTCTGTAGCACTTGGTGTATATCATTACCCACTCACTTTGACCAGGAGCAACTCAGATACATCTCTTTCTTCACAATGACCAGGGGCAACAGGTTGACCTCACTGTTCTGTCCACAAGTTAATCAGAGAGCAACATCAGAGTATCTTGAAATACCCACAGCCTTAACTTTTAATTCCAGTGCATACTGCACATACTTCCAGAGATCCCTTTTTAGCACTTTTGCCTTGAAAGGAGTTCACATTTTTAGCCAAAGGTTTCATTGTGCCCCTAGGGATGAGCAGGGCATATAGTGTATGCATTTGATCTGGTTGATGCCAATTCTGAAAAAGACAAAGAATCTTATTCAAGTTGAGGGCAGTGCCTCCAAATGCTAAATGTTGAAGGACTGTTCTTGTCAGGATCACCACAGATGCTTGTTAACAATGTAGAATCCTGGCCCCTCCCCAGACCAGCAAATTAAGCAGCTCTAGGAAACAATGCCCAGGAATCTGCATTTTCTTTTTTTTTTTAATTTATTGAATCACCGTGAGAACAGTCACAAAGCCTTTCAGTTCAAGTCTCGGTCAGTCATACAATGATCAAACACCTGTCCCTTCACCAGTGCACATTTTCCACCACCAAGAACCCCAGTATACCCCTCTTCCACCCACCCTCCGCCCGTGTGGCAGATTTCCACTTTACTCTTTCTCTCTCTACATTGATCACATTCAATATTATGACAAAAGACCCAACATTATTATTTGGAATTTTCCCCAACATTCAGACCTGCCAAAAAGACATCATTAGATAATTTGTTTTCTATTGCTGATTATGAAGAGCATATGATATCGTGTGGCCACAATAGCGGCCACGCGAATTTGGATTTCTGATATTTTAGTAATAAACCTAGAGGGATTACTGCCAAAAGCCCCTAGGTTCCGAGATTGGTTTGTGTGCCTCTGGGATCATGGACATTCAGAAGCCAGGGGAGGCGTTTGAGGGTGGCAACCCAGAGCTTTGTCATGGCAGGGAGCAGGACTGATTCCACCCCCCATCCCACGAGGCCCCATGTGCCTCGTCAATGCAGTCTCATACCTGGCTGTTCATTAGGCTGTAAAAGATGCAGGCCACCGTGCCACCACTGCAAGGGGGTATAGGAGGAGGAACGGACACCCTTCCCCTCCCAGGGGGGCATAGTTAAATGCACCATAGCACTGTAGTTAAATGCATAGTCCAGATGCATTTTGGTTGGGCATTATATTTTGCTCAGATGTTCCTACCACCATTCAAACCTGTTTTTCAGGGACAAACGCTAGATCATTTACTTTCCATTGGTCACTTTGCATATCAGGAAATGTCATGCGGCTGCATACATGGCCACGTGGTTCAGAAAATAGTCCTGGTACCCATATACCGGAGCCATGCTTGTAGAAGCTTATGGTCACCGGGATTCCATCTGGAGAAGGCTGGGAGACAGCACCTACCCCATCTGGGACCTCCGAGTGATATCGGCTCAGTATGGGGCCTGGAGAATTCTCCAGGAGTTGTGGAGCGAATCTGCATTTTTCAATAAGCACCTCAGATTGCAAAAACAAACTTTCGTTTGTCACACTCTGTAGCACTGTAGCACTGTTCTCCCATTGTTCATCGATTTGCTTGAGCGGGCCAAGTAACGTCTCCATTGTGAGACTTGTTGTTACTGTGTTTGGCATATCGAATCCATCACAGGTAACTTGCCAGGCTTTGCCATGCAAGCAAGATACTCTCGGTAGCTTGCTGGGCTCTCCAAGAGGGGTGGAGGAATCAAACCCGGGTCGGCCAGGTCGGCTGCGTGCAAGGCAAATGCCCTACCCACTGTGCTATCGCTCCAGCACTTGTCACACTCTAGGGATATTTTTCCAGCTAACCTCATAATCCATGCTTTAATCTTATAGCTAAAAGCCTGTCTCGCCTTTTCAAACTGTCGATCTTTTTATTCAAACCTTTATCTTTGCTTCTGCAGATTTTTTGCCATTTTCCTTATTAATTTTTAGATGGTTCTTACTTAAACAATCACCACATTTCAGTACTGCATGACTATTTTCAAAACCTTTTAAAAAAAAAAAGCAAAAATAAAAGTAATAATAAGACTCAATTTCTCGCCCTTTGCCCACCCACATCTTTATTTGGGGTGAAATCATTAAATTTGATTGGAATCATAGATTCCTGAGTTTCTTCAGATAAAATATTACCGGGGAAAAAAAACTAGGTAACTTCAAGCAGTATAGGCAAACCCTGTTTATGTAAGTAAAAAAGTATGCACTTCATTGTCTTTTCATGGCATCCTATTGTGCTGGATTAGAAACGTAGATAATGCTCTTGTCTGTTCAGATAGTTATAATGATACTTTTGTTAACATAATTTATGACACACTTTAGGAGTTCTCAGACCAAGACCAAAACAAAGGAGTGCAGAAAAGAAAATAGATGCAAATGGAGAATCAGATTGGATACACACACACACACACACACACACACACACACACGTTCTTTATCTCTCACAAGACAAAGATCACTGGCGTCCAATCTACTAAAAATTGCCCCATGGCAAGTGGGAAGTGTTAGCCTTTTCTTATGCTCAGCTGCTCCCTCTTGGTTGTTATGAAAATGGATAGCCACAACTGTTGAAAGCATAAATGACCTTCTCATGTGGAATTAGCTCATCAGAGATTTAATGGGAAATGATCTGCTAAGATAAGGGAGGCAAGCACTTCTCTGCTGACCGGAGAAGAATCAGGCTATAGGGCATGCACAGCTGACCTGCCCATTAGAAAAGCCTTGGTCGCAGTGCCAGGCTGCTACTTTCTACTCACGGGAACTTAAGATGAGGTGTCTGACCTCACTGATTGTTTCCTGCTGTATCCAGGGGTGTCAAAAGGTGTCACTAGAGCCTTTATGAAAACTTCATCATCAGTTCAATGGGAGAAATTACAACAGATCCTTCAGAAATTCAAAATACAATGAAAGGGGCAGAGCAATAGTACAGTAGGTACTATCTTGCATCCCTTGCATGCAGCCGACCCAGGTTCAATCCTCCGCATCCCATTTGGTCCCCTGAACACCAGCAGGAGTAATTCCTGAGTGCAGAACCTGGAGTAACACTAAGCATCGTAAATTGTTGCCCCAAAAGACAAATAAATAAAGATAAGTTACTATGAACAACCCTATGCTCTTAAGCAGGAGAACCTAAAAGAAATGGATAGAGTCATATAATCTCCCAAAGATGAATGAGGAGGAAGTAGAAAGCCTAAACAGTCTAATTACAAGTAAGGACATTGAAACACTCATTGAGAGTCTCCCCAGGAACAGAAGTCCCGGGTCAGATGTGTTCGCTGGTGAGTTCTATGAAACCTTCAAAGGTTTAATGCGTATGCTCCTTAAGCTATTCAAAAATGTCAGAGAGGAATTCCTCCAAACACCTTCTATGAAGCTAACATTACACTAATATGCAAAGCAGACAGAGACACTTCCAGAAGAGAAAATTTCAGCCCAATCTCCCTGATAAATATCAATGCAAAAATTCTTGAAAAATAGTAGCTACTGAATCCAACAACATTTCACAGATACCATACACCCTGATTAAGTGGGATTTATCCCAGTGATCATGGATACAAAGCAGTTAACATAATACACATTAATAAAAAGAAAGATAAAATCATATGATCAATTGATGCAGAGAAAGCCTTTAACAAGATCTAATATCCATTCATGACAAAAACCCGCAACAAAATTAGGGTGGAAGAAACCTTCCTCAAGGAAAGTTTATAGCCATCTGTAAAAAGCATATAGGCAGTATCATACTTAATGGTGAAACATTGAAAGAATTGCTGGGTCAAAAGGGAGCTCAATTTCTAGTCTTTTGAGGAATGTCCATATTGTTTTCAAAAAGGGCTGAATCAGTCAGCATTCCCACCAGCAATGCGGGGAAAGTTCCTTTCTCCCTGCATCTGTGCCAGCACTGGTTGTTTTTGTCCTATTTATGTCACATATTTTCTTTTTTTTCTTTTCTATTGATTCACCGTGAGATACAAAGCTTTTGTGTTTGAGTTTCAGTCATACAATGATAATCACCCATCCCTTCACCAGTACACATTTCCCATCACCAAAATCCCTGGTATCCCCTCTCCCCATTTCAACAATTCTGCTGCCTGTGTGGCAGACAATTTCCATAATACTCTCTACTGTTGATTACATTCAGTATTTGACATCAGTCCCAACACCACTCAAACCTCCTCTGCCCCTCTCGGAGAGCCCGGCAAGCTACCGAGAGTATTCGATATGCCAGACACAGTAACAACAAAGTCTCCAATGGAGACGTTACTGGGCCCACTCGAGCTAAAAAGGCAACGCTAGATAATTTATTTTATATTGCTTCTTATGAATAGCATATAATGTCACATGGCTTTTCTTGTGGCTGCATGCTCTAGGAATTCTAAAATTTTAATAATTGGGGTCTGGAAAGATCTCTGCAGTGAGTTGCACGGTTCCAAGATTCATGTGTGTGTGTGTCTGGACCATGGCTGTGTAAGAGCTTATTAAGTAGCCAGGGACCGTTTGTGGGTGTCATCTCAGAGTCCCATTGGAGCAGGGGGAAGGAGAAGGGCTGGCTCCTCCCCTGTCCCTGTCCTGTTGCCAATTCTGCTCCCGCCTACCTGGACTTTTTGTTGGGTTCTAGAAGATGGTGGCTGCCAGGCTTCCTAGGGGGCAGGCAGAAGGACTGCACCTGCTTCCCTCTGGAGTGGCCCAGCAAAAGTGACCTACTGCAAAGTCCGGAGGCATCTCTGCAGCGAGGTGCTTGGTTCTGAGATTTGTGTGTCTATTTTATTTACTTTTTTGAGTTTAGTTTTGAAAATCTATCTTTTTACTGAGTCACTGTGAGATACACAGTTACAACATTGTTCATGATTGTGTTTCAGATGACTCCACAAGTGTACATTTCCCACCACCAATGA